TCTTTTCTAAGTTACATTTAAATTCTGCCAATGAGCCTGATTTTCTGCTTGGGATTAAGCTTTCATTTTAAGGTAGCAATGTCTGCTCCTTGCACAGCTATGTGCTTTTTATTTTTCTACTATCTAAAGAATTGCTTGCATCAAGAATTTTCTGGACTATAGTGTCTAAGATAGAAGACCTAATAGAATCATGGTCTCTGGCTCCGTGCCTGTGGCTCAAGTGGCTAAACAACAAAAAATAGCCGGGCGTTGTGGTGGGCGCCTGTGGTCCCAGCTACCTGGGAGGCTGAGGCAGGAGACTCACTTGAGCCCAGGAGTTGGAGGTTGCTGTGAGCTGTGATACCATGGCATTCTACCCAGGGGGACAGCTTGAGGCTCTGTCTCACAAAAAAAAAGAATCATGGTCTTTGCCAAATTTGCTTTTCTATTTTATTGTTACATAATATTCTCTCCATTGAACAACTGTTTTTATTTGTGACTGCTATGGGTGAAGTTTGTGTGGTGGTGCTATACCTTCTAAACGTATAGGAGAAATGTCTTCGTATTAAAAAATTCTGTGTAACATACATCCATGTTTACCCTACATGTATACATTTTTAATTCTCAAAATGCCTTTGATTATTTTCAATGTGCAGTTGCTTTAATCATAGTATCTAATCCCTAAATTGTAGAAAGCAGTTTCCCTGAAAGCTTTTGAATGGCTTTGTCTGTCTTTATGTTGTTTAGAAATAAAAGGAAATTAGTTTTAAGGAAAAACTAAGCTTCCTGCAAAAACCAGGCAATCAGGCTTGGCGCCCATGGCTCAGTGGCTAGGGCTCCAGCCATATACAGCGGAGCTGGCAGGTTCAAATCCAGTCTTGGCCTGCCAAACAACAATGATAACTACAACCAAACAATAGCTGAACGTTGTGGTGGGTGCCTGTAGTCCCAGCTACTTGGGAGGCTGAGGCAAGAGAATCTCTTAAGTCCAAGAGAGAGAGGTTGCTATAAGCTGTGACACCACGGCACTCTACTGAGGGCAACATAGTGAAACTCTGTCTCAAAAAAAAAAAAACAACCAACAAACCAGGCTATCAGAGCAGTGTAAGCCAGGTTCATTCACTTTTCAGCTTTGCCATGTAAAAGAATAAATTACATTTTTATAATGTTTAATATTATGTGCACCTGAAACATCTAAGCTGTTAGGGTGTGAATTCTACTACCACTTGGAGGAACTCCCAGAGAGGGACAGTCATATAGGATAAAAGCAATTAAGCGTCCTTTTCCCAGATGCCTAGTTGTTGAAGTATTTCTGGACATTATGGTGAAGGATGCATCTTTAGTCTTTATACTAAGGTATTGGCATCTGCCCCCAAATTGGCATTGACATTATACAATGCCAGGGAATTCCATATGCCCTGTGGGATCTTGCCCCGTTTTTATATGGTGAACTTGAGAGATGCCATATCATCTTGTACCATCTGACAGAGTACAAAGAGAAATGATAATGATATAGGTACTTTCTTTCGTTCTCTACTTAAAAATTGCAAATCTTAAAATTGCATATTTTTTAAGACTTTATTAATTTAACAGATGGAAGTTATATTTAAACTTATTAAGTGAAATAATTACTGGGTTTCTTCCATGGGTTCCTACCCATATAATTCAGTGTAAAAGGCCTGTGCTTCAGTCTATTCTGCTCAAGCTTTCAAATTTCTTTGACAGCCTTGATGTGAGATTCAAAAGCCATTAATTTGATGTGTTAATTTTGCACTTTTTGACTCACTGCAAAGATCTTATAGTTTCCATGGCAACAATAACATATCCAGATTGTATAATATTCTTTACAGTATTAAAAATAAAACTATGCAATTACATGAGCTTCTGGAGTACTTCATTTAGGGGAACTAGGGATTGAAATACTTCTGTTGAAAAAAAATTATGGTTTCATGTGATAAATTTTTCAGAAAGCTTTTCATAATTTTGTTTTTAAGAATTTGTTAAACTGAAATATTTAGGAGTAGGTATCTAGTAGTTATTTATTAAATATATAAAATTTATATCATAGACATTGTGTTGGAGTACCTTAGACATGTGTGCTACCACTCCCGTACCCACACATACATTTACAGTAGATGGGGCCATTTGACTTCAACCATGTTCAGTCACTTGCTGCTTGTGGCTTCTGGGTGGTCTGAAAAATGGCTAGTTTTTTTTTTTTTTTT